GCCTGTAATGCTGGCGAGTGCTGTGGGCGGGGCCTGTAATGCTGGCGAGTGCTGTGGGCGGGGCCTGTAATGCTGGCGCGTGCTGTGGGCGGAGCCTGTAAAGCTGGCGCGTGCAGTGGGCGGAGCCTGTAAAGCTGGCGCGTGCAGTGGGCGGAGCCTGTAAAGCTGGCGCGTGCAGTGTGCGGAGCCTGTAAAGCTGGCGCGTGCAGTGTGCGGAGCCTGTAAAGCTGGCGCGTGCAGTGGGCGGGGCCTGTAAAGCTGGCGCGTGCAGTGGGCGGGGCCTGTAAAGCTGGCGCGTGCAGTGGGCGGGGCCTGTAAAGCTGGCGCGTGCAGTGGGCGGGGCCTGTAAAGCTGGCGCGTGCAGTGGGCGGGGCCTGTAAAGCTGGCGCGTGCAGTGGGCGGGGCCTGTAAAGCTGGCGCGTGCAGTGGGCGGGGCCTGTAAAGCTGGCGCGTGCTGTGGGCTGGGCCTGTAATGCTGGCGCGTGCTGTGGGCTGGGCCTGTAATGCTGGCGAGTGCTGTGGGCGGAGCCTGTAATGCTGGCGAGTGCTGTGGGCGGAGCCTGTAATGCTGGCGAGTGCTGTGGGCGGGGCCTGTAAAGATGGCGTGTGCTGTGGGCGGGGCCTGTAAAACTGGCGTAGGCTGTGGGCGGGGCCTGTAAAACTGGCGTAGGCTGTGGTCTAAACCTGTTAAGTTGGTGTGTGCTGTGGGCGGGGCCTGTAAAACTGGTGTATGCTGTGGGCGGAGCCTGTTAAACTGGTGTATGCTGTGGGCGGAGTCTGTTAAACTGGTGTATGTTATGGGCGGATCCTGTTAAACTGGTGTATGCTGTCGCAGAGCCTGTGAAACTGGTGTTTGCTGTGGGCGGAGCCTTTTAACTTTGTTGTATGCTGTAGGCAGAGCCTGTTAAGCTGGTGTATGCTGTGGGCGGGTCCTATAAAACTGGTGTTGTGGGCCGATCCTGTTAAACTGGTGAATACTGTGGGCGGAGCCTTTTAAACTGATGTCCTGTGGGCAGAGCCTGTAAAACTGGTGTTTGCTGTGGGCGGGGCCTGTTAAATTGGTGTTGTGGGCGGAACCCGTTAAACTGGTGTATGCTGTGGGCGGAGCCTGTTAAACTGGTGTATGCTATGGGTGGATCCTGTAAAATTTGTGTATGATGTGGGCGGAGCCTGTTAAACTAGTGTATGCTGTGTTTGGTGTCTTGTAAGATTATAAAATTATCAGAGCCTGTTGAGGCTGTATGGATGCCACCTCCTATTTTCTATTCAGTATCAGACATTTTATTTAAACAAGTTTTTTTATTTTTTTTTCATTTGAACACTTTGATGATGACAGCAGTGATGAAGATGACTGTGAACATTATAGTGAGAAAGAGGATGATGCCAAAGATTATAGTGATGACAATATTGATGATCATGATGGTGATAAAGATTATGGTGACTATGATGATGATGATGATAACGTTTCTTTTGGTTGTCCCAGGGCTTCAGTGACGATTCCAACCTTCATCAGGAGGAAGAAGATGAGCCAGAGCTGATCCTGGATGCAGGTCTGCCTCGTTACTCCTCTGCTCTGTCCTTTGATCATCTGCCTGTAGAGGAGGGCACGGAGATGGCTGTGGATGAAGAGGAGGAGGTGATGAAGATGGAATCTCCAGCTAGGAAAGCTCCTCCATCATGGGAGGAGTGGAAGCTATCCTCCTCCATCAGGACTGGAGCTTCAGAGGAGCAGAAGGTTTGGTTCCGTCACGTTTATAGATCTGACCGGGGACGGTTCTGGATCAGCTAATCAGATGTTTCTGGTTCTAGATGTGGAGACGAGGTTCTCAGGAGGAAAAGGAGCAGTCCAGTTCGGACCATGAAAGCATCTCGTCTGTCGGAAAACTGATTCTGGGTGAGACAACGGAACCGACCTGCTTCAACTCTGCTGCTTCGTCTGCTGGAGAATTGATTCAGGTCTGTGTTTCTGCAGCTCTGCCAGACTCCAGAGACACGGAGGCCGACTCAGAACTCACTCTGACTGACACCGACACCGAGTCAGTACCTCCTCTTCATCAGTACCTCCTCTTCATCAGGACCTCCTTTTTAGCTCACTTATACAAAAACAGAAACATTTTTTATTCTAACATCTAAAAGTTTTATTTTACTGCTGCTTTGATTAAAAACTAGAGCAGAAAACGGAACCGAACGGCTCTGGTTCTGATCCAAACTCTTCCTCTCAGCTGTTTTTCTATCCTCTGTCCCCATCTTCAGGTCAAACCCGACACGTTAAACCTCAGCAGGCGTTCATCAGAACCTCCTGCTGAGGAAGCTTCTGGTTTCTACTGCAGTTAAAAATAAAATAACAAATATGAATTATTTTAATCAAATATCAAATTATATTTGATTAAAAATGTAATAAAACTGAACCTCTGTCATCATCTGGAGATTCAGGTTTTTATTAGAGTCAGAGAGTCAGAGTCAGAGTTTCTTTGTCATTCGCACCTCATGTGGTACATGTGGTGGAGCGAAATTATGTCCACAAGGTCCCAGTTACATCCAACAATAAAATGTATAAGAAAAACAGTAATAATATCTAAGATATGAACTAAGAAAAACATCAACTAAATATACACTAAGCACTAGAGATGGTTTAAAATAAGATGGTTCTGGTTTCTCTCTTGTGGAGGTCCGTCAGGATGATTGACACGGCCAGGAGGAAGAGGCGGAGCCAGGGAGGGGCCTCTCTGCCATTGAGAGGAGGCCACAGGTAAAGAGCAGCTTCAGCTGTCGGGTCAGAAACCTGCTGGTTCCTGCAGCCCGTTAACACCTGGTTTCTGTTCACAGTGACCTGCCAGAGAGGGAGGAGGGGGAGGGGGAGGAGACCCCTGCCTTCAGCCACTGGGGACCCCCCCGCAGGTAAACTATGGGGGGTGGAGTCACTGAAAGTTCAGGTAGAAACACAGACCAAGAAAGACCTTCAGGATGCCAGAACTGAGTCTGGATCATAACAATTTCCTGCAGGATCAATAAAGTTCTATCTTATTTTATAAAGAGATTAGGTCTGGGTCTGGGTCTGAGTCTGGGTCAGAGTTGGACCGTCTTCTGTTACCCATCTCTGAATCTGAGGGGCGTAACCAAAGTCTTTGTCCTTCAGGGTGGAGGTGTGGCCTGAGGAGGGACAGTCTCTGGGTCTGAGCATCGTTGGAGGTCGGAACATCATCAAGCGTCTGAAGAATGGAGAGGAACTAAAGGGGATCTTCATCAAACAGGTTCTGCCAAACAGCCCCGCTGCCAAAACCAGGTGCCTGAAGACCGGTGACAAGATCCTGGAGGTAGGGATCCATCTAATTACTGGGTCCCCATAGCTGTACTTACAGTCCTGGAAGGCAGCCAGTCCACGGTCTTTTAGTTCCAGGGTTTTATGGATCAGAACTAGATGAAACTGATCTGATAATCTGAATGTTTCTGCAGCTCTTCTTCTGGATTATAATCTACTTTGAACAGAAACGTTTGACATTTTCAGTCTCGCAGTAAGACGTACACATGTCCGTGCACTCTCAGGTGTCAGGTGTCGACCTGCAAGCTGCCAATCACGAGGAGGCGGTCAGTGCCATCAAGTCTGCTCCGAGTCCGGTGGTCTTCGTGGTTCAAAGTCTGTCAGCAACGCCGCGGGTAAAAACACACTATGGTCATGTTCTGAGATGTACGGCGTCTTCAGGTTCTGAGGATGTCTATCCAAAGTGTTTACCATAACATACCATAACAAGGTTTTCAAGTCCCGTTTAAAAACCCACTACTATTCAGTAGCTTTCAACACCAGATGATCTGTGTTTTGATCCTGTATGCTCCACACTGGTTTGTCGACATCTGCATCGTTTTTATGTCTATATTCTGATTTACCTCATTTTATATATTTCTTTGTGCGTTACCTGTTGTTCTGTCTGTACAGCACTTTGGTTGGCCTTGTTGCTGTTTTAAGTGCTTTATAAATACCATACCATGTCATACCATAACATACTATACCATAACATCATACCATAACATACCATATCATACCATACCATATCATACCATACCATTCCATGTCATACCATAACA